AGTGCCTAAATCGTGATCACATATCTGTGGGAAAGCTGTGGTGGCTGCAACTTTGAACAATTGTAAGTCGTCTTATTCAGTGCTAAGTGAGGATTACTAATACTAATGCTAATACATTAAAGAGTCGGTAAATGTAGCTCTGAATACTGCCAATGAATGGCCACAACCAAATGTGATTTTTGTTGTAACACTGTAAATAATAAACAATAAAAACTCATTATCACTCAGGATTGATTTAATTTCACTGAAACCTTCCATACAACAGATTTTTAGAGTAATCTATAATATTTTGATTATCTTATAGGCTCCATTTAGCATGAAAAAAAGGATTAAAATGCAATATTCCAGCAATTACATACTTGAACTTATATGGCGTAGACAAAAAAAAAATCATTTGTTTGGTTCATTAAAGTAGTTTTTTCAATCTATACTCTTCATAACATTGCTTATTTCAAAACGAATAGTGTAATAGGTGGTTAGGTGTATTTTCAACAATACATTCATAAAATGCTGCATAAAGCAATCAAAAGGTAGTTTTCCCAATTACTGAATCAAAATGTCCAATACAATATATCAAGACAATTTAGTGCCCCACATTTTTCTACACTGTGTGAGACTAATAACATAGGTATAAAGGCAACAGGCCTGTCACATTTTAGAAGACTTGCTGTCCAGTGCTGAAATCCCCATCACTGCCTTTTCTAAAGTCTTCTTGTATCATCAAATATGATTATGATTATGACAACTTATTAGCAAAGACATTAGCAAAGACAGAACACGGTATTTATTATTTATATAGCTGTAAGTCTTCATTTCTCATTAATGCTTGCACAAAAATATTTGAATCATAATTGTGATAAATTTTGAGGTAATATTATCTAAATATTTCTTTCACATTTATCTTCTCTTCTGCTTCCTTTATAGTTCCTTTTATTTCTTTATGTGTCTACCAAATAAATCTCAACAACATCTTCACTTACTGGAGAATACTAAAAGCTGATACAGTATCCTGGAAAAAAATAAAATAGCTTACTGAAAAGAGCTCCCTATGGATTTATATTTTTGTAACTAAGTTCCTTTCTCAGTCAAGAACTTAATTTGCTCCCAATCGTGTACTCAATTTGTAGAGTGAATCTAAAAACACTTAAGTAGAATAAATCAAAGAACAAGTATTTAAATCTGCATTTAAGTATACAACTGCTATTGATAGTAACTGTAATATTATATGCTTAACAATTCCCAGCACTACTATTGAATGACTTGCTGTTCAATCCATGCTGCATAGTACCTTGTTGTGGTATATATCACTAATATAGCAATAGTAATAGTGAATTTTAAAATATGTGTAACTGATTCTCTTGTAAAATAGATGGAACAAACAAATTGCAACATTGCAAGTAATCACGATAGCATTTCTTTTCAACTTTTTTTTTAAAAAATCAGTAGTTGTCAGACACTAGTCATCTTCTAATAACTAACCTTTATAAAACTGTCTGCAGAAAAACACAAAATCTTATACTCAGATATGAATGCAGTCCTTATTCTCTTTTCCACTGTCAACATTATTGGTACATATGTAGATTTCAATCAATCTTAAGCACCTGCATACACTGAATATGGGCAAGGGAAACTATTCCAAATATATTTATAAGCTTTTGCTAAATGAAAAAAGTTGATGTTTTAAAATAATGTTATCAGTTTTCCATTATTATGAAAACGAAGTATTCACATTACTGTGAACAACTACATTTTCTCCTCCACCATTACGTAGTGCACTTTTTTTTTACCAGCACAGATTAAGTGCAACTCTTTCTTGTAGATATGCTATAATAAATAGTTAACAATTGAGTTCCACAAACCTCTCTGAAAGCCATAGCTTTTAATAAACATGCCATGCTCTGTGGTCACTTAAATAAATCCTCTAGGTTTCTGGAGGACTTTTATGGTTCTCTCAAAATTACCAAAAAGTAGATGTTTTTGCTGGAATATGAAATGATCACAAGTGATAATTTCAGACAGAGATCAATTCAACTGTGAAAGGTTTTTTTTTACAAAGATAAATTTATCATAAAGCTGAATATTGTAAGAAGTTATCAAAGAACAAAATTAATAATTTTACAAATAATGTACCTGTTTTGAAGATTTAAACCTGTCAAAGATATTTGTCAATTTGCACCTTTATTTAGACTGGTAATTCTCCAATTACCCTTCAACAAGCTTGAAGACTACAAATAGAATTACCTCAGATAATAGGAAATAGATATCTATCCTAAATAATATGGCCTTAGAACTATGGTGTACGGAGCCTGCAAAGTGACTATATTTCTAGAAAAATTGAGTGTGCTGTCCCGCAGATGTTTTTCTTAATGGTTTTTAATGATTTTTCTGTTTTTTTTTTTTACTTTTGTATACTCCCAGAATCACACATGTAAGATGAGAGGCTATCTGAATTTAATAAATAAATAAAATTAGGTCACTAATCAATATCTTATATTCTGCATGCTATGTTCTGAAAAACAAGAAAAGATTTGTCCAAAAAGTGAGGGACACAATAAGTACTGTCCTCTGAGTTTAAATCTTGTTAATTCTTGTGCATTAGATTTACATTCTGTCTTTTTTTCTAGAAGCTCAGGGTAGAATTAACAGATATCTTCCCTCCTTTTATCCCCATAATTGCCCTGTGAGATGGGCTGAATCGAGAGAATTTGAAGCCACCAATGAGCTTCCATGGCTAAGGATGGATTTAAGCCCAAATCACCTAGTGTAATTTCTTATGGGTGAGGAGAGGGTGAAGCCTATTATGTACACATTAAATATTTAATTTAAAGAAAGTTACTTAGATTTGTTTATCATCAAATTCCCGAGGCAAGTTCTATCATTTTCCATTATTTTGCATTTTTGGACGAGATAATTGAGCAAGCAAATCCCCACTTTAATATCTTACCCATTTAAGGATACAGTATAAGAAAGTTCAGAGACCTGCAAGTGTTTCTTTCAGGTTCACAACTTGTAACTCTTTTTGGGGATGTCTTTCCATTAATGTTTATCTCTAAGATAAAGTACATGTAAGCCTAGAATTCTAAAGCAGAGAGTTCAAGAATGAGGCAGAAAAGGGGAGATTGGAAAGCGAACAAAGATTAGTTCCAAAAATGGAAAAAAGGAGTCAAACTATTTTTCCTCCTAGCACTACCATTTTAAGAGCAGACAAAATTTATTAACTGTATTTTAATTGTACCATAACTAAAATAAATGCTGTGACACACTTGGACAAACGTCCTATTAGCACAAAATAAGAACTCTTGGAGTCTTATAACAAAGATTAATAGATGTGCTAAATTGCAGTTTCTTGACTTGTTCAATTCAGCAAATGTTCTCATACTACAAAATCTGAAAAAGCATACATTTATTCCAATAAAACAATTTAAAAGAGAATGCTATTGAACATTTAAATTAGCAAGTTATTATTTATTTCCATTAAACATTCAGGAAGATATAGTAAGCAACTTAAAAAGAAAATTAAAAAGGAAGAAAAAAAACACAGATGATAAATTAGGGATTTAGAGATGTCAGGGAGGACATAATTTTCCAACAAAACATTTGCTACTTATAAATAACTAAATGTGTTGTATTGTTTTAGCAGACTTAAAATTCATAGTGTAACTTTAAATTCAGAATGAATATTGGGAATTCTGGTCAACACAGTATACATCACTCGATAAAAGTAGCAGAGGGTTGCAGGAAGCCATCCTGGCCAAAAATGGGGCCATGCCTACCCTGTCCCGGCCATGACACCTGGCACCCTGAGATCAAACACAACCCTGATGCGGCCCTCAATGAAATAGAATTTGACTCCTCTGGCCTAACCTATATCTTAGTTAACCATTCTTCCTCACAGGGCACCAAACAACCCTGCCAGTAAAAAGGATATAACATCCTTGCAGCACTGCACTCATTGAAGCATATCTGAAGCTATTCCACCCCAGCACATTCATTACATGCAGATATTGTCACCTGGCCATGCAAATACTTGATGTAATGGCAAAAATACAGAAAACAAAAAAATGAGGAAATAACCAAGTATTTGGCATATTTTTTATCAGGACTAATTTATTTATTTAATTTATTTATTTGCTGCCTATCTCACCTTGATATAAAGTATGTTTATTGTGCTTACTATTACCACTCTGCATGAACGGAGACAAATTCCAATCCTCATACTGGGCTCCAGCCAAGAAATATAAATCACATAGCATATCGTTTTACTGGGAAATTAATGAAGGTATCAATAAGAAAAAGTGGTTGCGTTCATAAAATATTAGTCAATAACCAAAGACTTGCACAAATTTTCTTTCATTTCCAAGCAAAATACCTTACTAGCTATAAGGGAAAGTCTTGTTTCAACAACAGAACACATATTTCTACTGCATATAGAAAGCAATTCCAAAATCTAATGCAGACACTGTTTGGATGGGGGAATAAGATGTACCATGTATGTCGCCTCTGTAATTCATAGATATTGAGGAGTGGCCTACTTACAATGTATCAGTAGTAGCTCACTGTTATTTCATTTACCTATTATTTAGTTATTAGGATGGCTGTTTAGATTATGACCAATGACCATCCCGACAAAAAGAACAGGTCAGTATCCCATGTATTTTTCCATTAGGAAGGAACCGGATTAATCTATGAACACTTGAAAACCAACATGGAGCTCAATCTCTTTGAGTCAATGAGACAAAAAGGAACATTCAATGAATACCATTTAAGGAAAATACAGGCTGATTACAGCTGTGGGTTCAGTTTTAAAAGACTTTAAAATGGAATTGGCAAAGGAAACTGCATGGCTTGACTAGGACTGTCACTTATAAAAATCATCATATTGACTTTTTCCATTAAAAGTCAGAGGGGCTTTATACTATCCAAACGTTTTATATAAACAATGAGAAATATAATAAAATATTATGAAACTAAGATTACTATATATGAGATACAGCACTCACTGTTCAATTCGAGGAGAGAGGTACAATTTGGGAAAAACCTGAGTAGCTTCTGTATCTTCAAAACTGACGGAAAGAAGAGCAACATCTTCTCCAGGGTCTTCATTTGCATCCTAAAAACATACACAGAAAGAAAAAAATAAAATAATTGTAATAGCAATCATAAGATTGACCATGTCAAAGATTATAAGGCCTAGCTGAAAAGGTTGACAATCTGCTACTTTGGTCATTTTAAAACTGGCTAGAAATAATGCTTGACACCAGGAATGTTAATAGAAATATACTGCTAGTATAATATACCATATATTTTAGGTGCATACAGTAGACACAAATTAAATGTCATTGCCATGAATTTGGCAGATGTCAAATTACTGCTAGCAGGCATGTCATGATATTCTTTTGTAGAAAATACTGTTTTCCAAAGTCAAATCAGCTGTTAAAAAAACACTTAGCTTAACTGGACAATAAGAAATGATTTTACAGTGCTGCATGAACTGAATTTCTATATCATTTTACCAGTTTGTGACAATATGATGGAGGAAGTAATTGTTGCCCAATACTAGTCTAAGTGACCACTGAAAATCTGGCAGTTTTTCAGTTTTGAGCACCATTATGTACAGTAAAAATGAAAGACTAAAACAGAGTTATGTTCAATTATAGAATCACATGTCTTTCCAATGTAATTAGCATCCTAGAAAATATTCTTTTGGAAAAATCATATAGCTTAGATTTGTTTGTTCGTTTTCTGCTTTTATTATTTTAATTCCAGGCACTGAACGTATCCTGCAGTACTTTTTTCTTCCTATTTATATGGTTTTATATTCTATATTTCTTCCTGTATTTCATGGCTGAGTAAATAACATTTCCTTCTCAAATGTTTCCATACACCAATATTCTTATGAGGTAGACTGATCTAAGAGTGAGTATTCCAATATACCCAATAAGTTTCTGTGGCTGAAGATTGATTTGCAGTGCATTTTGCTAATCATAATCCAAGTATTAAACCTTGCAAAGTAAGTTGCCATACTAACTTGGCTCCATTCTCTGCTATTTCTAGCAAGGAGGAGTGGGAAAGTTTTCTAAGATTTTAGTTGTTGCTTTGATGAATCAATTATTTGATTTGGATTTGGATTACACAGTTTCCCATGCTTAAATGTAATCCCTCTGATCCATTCCTTTAATTTAAGAACAAAATATTACATGATAAGAATTATAAAATAGATTAAGGCATATTATATTATTATATTGCTAAACTACATTGACAGATTAGCCATGACAATCTTAGAAAGTATATTCAGATTCTGTGATATACCTATAAAGATCAGAACAATGCAAGCAATGGTATTCCCAGTGATACTCTATGGAAGTAGAATCTGGACTTTGAAAAAGCAGGATAATACCGGTACTGATATTGATGCTTGTGAATTGTGGTGTTGGAAAGGAATCCAGAGCATACCATGGATAGCAAGAAAACAAAGGAATGGATCATCAAACAAATCAAGCCAGAGTTCTCACTTGAGATACAAATAACCAAGCTCAAATTGCCCCAGCTGAGACATGTTATGTAGAGAGCTAGCTCTATGGAGGAGGTTCTAATACAGTACTGTACTGGGAAAGGTAGAAGGAAAGAGAACAAGAAGACAACTAGGCAGCAAAGTAGAGGGACTGAGTTATTGCAGCAGTGGGTGTGCTACTGAAAGATCTGAAGGACCAGCAGATTGTCATGGAGAAAATCTATGTGGTTGCTAAGAATCAACACTATTTTGATAACACACAATAAATAAATATTATTATATTATACTACTATACTATACTATATAATATTATACGGGTTATTGTGTTATATTATATGGTATGGTTTATTAGTATAATTTAATAATTGTTTGATAGATTAAATAATAACCTGAAAGATAAGTTAGGAAATGATTGTCATGGAGAAAATCTATCTAGGTGCTAGTAAGAGTTAGCATTGACTTGATGACATATAATCAGTCAGTCAGCCACCATATATTTTTTCTTTCATTTAAATAGATGAATGGGAAAAAAGCATTGATTTTTGCTTATTTACAAACACACACACACACACACACACACACACACACACACACTTGAGTATTTTCAAAATCCATAATTTGGTTTATTATTAGGACCAATCCCAATATTATACATAAGTATCAAAGTTTCAACTTCTTCAAACAAAACCCATTCAGTTTTGTTCCACACAGCATCAACCTTGTGAACTCTCAAGTTTCCTCTTTCTGCCATGTATTCAAAATGGACAGTGATGAATATTTATACACACACACACACACGTGTGTGTGTGTGTGTAGCATGTGTACCATGTATGTGTATGAGTACATACATATTTTCTTTTGAGAGCAGGCAATAAAATTTCATTTTTAATGTGAGCCAATGTGCTCACAGCTTTAAAAAAAATGGCAATAAAGGTTATCTTAACCAAAGTAAGGTTGATATTTACTTATTTCATCAGACAAAAAATTACCAGAAAAAATGGAATAAGGGAAAAGGAATTCAAAATTACTCCAGATATTTCAGCTGTGAATTTCAAAGTCAGTCCAAAGATGAACCTGTAGATAACTCATAATCTGTAGTACTGTAGTATCATATGCACCACATTAAGTAAAAAGTTTCAACCCCAAAAACACAATTGTTAGCCTCCTGTTACATAACATATACCATTATGTATTTGGATTCCACCCTCCACCTCCTGATCCACAGCTATGACTACTCGTTTTGTATTTCAGGCTTGTATAATAATGTTAGGTATTTCCCTTTTTATTATGCCAGCAGTCATTTAAATCTTATCTACCAAAATGACTAATGGCTATGGGTTTTTTTAATATAAGTCCTCTGAAAGCTGCATTCACTAGTGTTGCAAAACTTAAATAGAGAGATGTAGCAATATTAATGATAGCAAACTTTAAAAAAAATCCAGATAATGTCTGTGATACCATACATGGAATACCACATTATCCAAATTCTGTATCACAATACCTTGGAGTACTGCAGCAATCTCACAAGACCACCACAGGATATTTTACATTTTTGTGATGTTCATTTGGAAAGCTGTGTTTTGCAATGAACATTAGTGATGTCATATCTTTGTCACATTAAGGACAACATGAACTGAAAAGTTTGGGAACAATGGCAAAAGTCTGATTTATGAACATTTGTGCACTACTTCAAAGGTTTGTTCTATATTTCATTTGCTTTTCAAAATCTGGTCTGGAACCTCCTAGAATCCAAATAGCATAAGACAAAGTTAACTGAGGTTGCCAATGATTGTTTTTAAATAATAATTTCTAAACAAGCCACAGAAGACTGGTTTTCATGAAGTCTAAGACCTAATGCATGTCTTAGTATTAATTTAAAATTAAACAAACTGCATTATGATTTAATATTAGGCATGAACTGACCTTAAATTCAAGATATAAATGAAATCAACTGATCCATTGTTCTCTTCTCTCTTTGCATTTTTTGTATGTTATACATCTTTTCTATTTTGCAAGTATTTTATATTTTAATCATTTTCTCTTTTAAACAGTTTTGTATTGCTTAGGATGCTGCCAGAAGATTGGTTCCAGCTCAGGCATCTTCCAATACACCAATATTATGAATTTGTATTTCTCCATAGCCACTTTTCTTCTGCTTCAGAGAAAATAAACTTCTGCTTGTACACTTTTGGCGTGTATCATCAGAAGTTCCTTTAGAATTATAATTAACTTGTGGATTATGATTAAAAGCTCCTATGTTTCAAAACAAAATTAAATGTTTATACCACTATACACAGCAATTTTCATGAAAAATGAAATCTGTAGCTAAGCTAATTAAATCAGTGGTTTTCAAAATGTGGTTCCTCAGGAGGGGCATAGGCCACTTAGAGAAAGGCAGGGCATTCTAAGAAAGAGGCAATCATCCTGACATTTTTTTCTTGTCATCAAGAAAAAGTTGAGCATTGCACTACAACCAGTTGCCGTGTTAATCATAGATGCACAAAGAAAAGTTTCCAACCTACACCCAGTGTTAACTATTTAAAATACAGCATCCAGGGAAGAAAAGGCACAAAAAGATAATAATTGTTTCTATTTCATCCACATTAAATTTGCTAGTAAAATTTTTGGGAACAGAATTGGGACAAATTTCAAATAGCACTTATATACTGCTTCACAGTGCTTTATAGCTATCTCTAAGCAGTTTACACGGTCAGCATATTGACCCCAACAATTTCGGTCCTCATTTTACCCATCTCAGAGGATGGAAGGCTGAGTCAACCTTGAGCCTGCTGAGATTTGAACTGCCGAACTGCAGTCAGTCAGCAGAAGTAGCCTGCAGTACTGCACTCTAACCACTGCGCCACCAGGGCTTGTATGTTTTCTTTGTAAACAAATTGTTAATATCTTTAGAATGTTAAATGAGACAGGGGAATTTACTAATTAGAAATGACTTTACATAATAGATAATTTTAGGATATGTATAATAATGTCAGATAACCTATATGCTTATATGGTTTTAAAAGAAAATTAGAGTATTCATGGTGGAAACCAGGGAAACTGCCCTATGCTTACATCATTGGCTTATTTAGTTTAATACTATGCATGCTTATTAGTAATAATGTTCCTTAGCTTAAAATTGAATATTTCCCCTCCTAACTAAAGATACAAAGAAATGGAACAATCTTCAAGAAATGCAGATATTCTATCACTGAGCTATACAAGTAGTCTTCCACTAATGACCACAGTTGGGCCCAAAATTTTAGATACTGAATGAAGCAAACTTTAAGCAAGACACTATGTGGCCACTTCATCAGGAACCACAATTCTAGCTCTCCCAGTTTCAGTTGTTAGGCAACTTTGTGGGTCATTAAACCGAGCACTGGGAGAAGGTCCATGCATTGTGGGGCAGGGACAGGGCCTAGCCCCTCTCCTCACCCTACTGGGGAGAAGAATCATGAGAAAGACTGTGTTTACTAAATTTGAGGTCCATTCCTCTAGTGTGCAGGAGTACTTTTCCTCCCTACCCAGAGGGGAGGGCAAATGTCATATTGGGGAAATGGATCTCAAATCTAACATCCCCTCTACTTGCAACCTTCCCT